GGGGCCAGGCTGGTCCACATAATGAGGTCCAGACCTGCTGGGGCTGTTTTAAAAAAGACCAACTATAATACACAGACCACCACACACACACACACACACACACACAATTACCTCAAGAAAGGTATACTGGCAGAGACCATCAAAAGTGTAGCTTTCTCCATCAAAGGTTCTAATGTGCCCTTCCCCGTAGATGTGGCAGGTCGTTTGACATGCATTTTGGGTACAGTTCCAAGATCCCTTTATGCAAGTACTAAAAGGAGAAAAATGAAAGAGTGTGGTGATTATGCCATGATTCACTTATTTTTATTATTTTTCTAAAGAATCATAAAATGTATCTTGGCTTAATTTTTGTAGTGTCTCCATTACCGCCATCGATTATACGTAATACTATACAAAGTTTGTTTTTTTAAAAAAAAGTAGTATTCTCTCCTAACTTAAGTTGTCCACTATTTTTCCCAAATAGCTCTAGCTAGGTATGACGTCCTGGCTCCCACACAAACTGAAAGCCAGCTCTACATTTCCAAACACCCCAAGCAAACGAATGTGGGTTTGACCCGTTATCACGTACCACTCGTTGCAGCCAACGGAAGTGACACTTCCTTGTTCATACTCTCGTTCTCCGAAAGAGCAGGGGCAGTCATCAGGAAAGACGCACGTCCCTTTAGAATTTCGAACCATTCCTGCTGGACAGTAGCACCCACGTTTGCAAGGCAAGTCCCCCTAGAAGGAAACATTCAGAACCGACACCCTGAGACACTGTTGTCATGTCACATCATCAACAGCCAAGACAAATGCGCAAATGTTCCAACTGTACGTATTGTAATAAATTGCCAACATTCGGCAAGTCAAAACAGCCCACTTACATGCATGCGCGCACACACACATATGCACGTGCTTGCGTGATCTAATTATTTTTCCTATAAATGTAGTTTCTATCAACCCTGAAAAAAATTAAAAGTTTCAGAAGGCTCCACTCTAATGCCATGTTATTTACCTCAAAAGCAGGAATATTCCGGGTGCCACAGGTTTTATCAGTCCGTCTCTGAGCCTTGGGATCTTTGCAATCTACATACTCAGCCCCTCCCGAACAATTTTCTGCAAGACAAAAGAAGTTGTTGTTAACCAAGAACTCTTGATCTAGTTTGACCTTTTATCAACACTTATAAGAAGTGGGGTGTGGTGGCACATGCCTATGACCCCAGCACTCAGGAAGCTGAGGCAGGAGAATTGCTGTGAGTTCAAGACCAGCCTGGTGTGCTTAATGAGACCTGACCTCAAAAGAAATAAAGAATGGAGGGAGATAGGGAAGAAAAGAAAGAAAAAGAAGGAGGGTGGGAGGGAGGGAGGGGAGGGAGAAGGAAGGGAAG